TATATATATATATGTGTGTGTGTGTGTGTGTGACTTATTTTTTATTGATTGATTTTTCATTTTAAAATATGTCACAATGATATTTCTTCACAATAAAAATTAATAAAATTTTAATTATTATTTTATAATAGAATAAATTAATAAATGTAACAAGGTGAAAAATACTTACTTTATATTGTTATTATTATAATACAACATTTTTTCTAAAAGAATTTAAAACTATGTTATTACAAAAAAGTATATATATTTTTTGTTTTTTTGAAAATATAAATTTACATTACATAATTTAAAATTTAAAATTTTGATAATACAAAATTATTCATATATATATATATATATATAATGAATGTAAAAAGTTTCTAATTGTGTATCTATATATCTACATCCAATCATGCATAAATTCAATTCGTATTGATCTTTATCACACCTCAATAACTTGCTTTTAACATTCTACTTCTGAAAGAAAGCAAGGGCACTAATGCAATTATGTTTATAAATATAGTCAAAATTTGTACCAAATTAGGATAATTTTAAATTCAATAGAATACAATTATACTCACAATATATATGAATAATAGAATATATGGTAATATTATTACAACCTCTACTGTTAGAAAATATAGTTGCTTTTTACGTTTAAGCTCAGAAGCAATATCACTATCAAAATATATGACCTAAGAACAAATAGTAGTACGGTGTAATCTATAAAATGGAAATAGAAATAATTTTAAAATCAGTTGACCAAGTTATATATATATATATATATATATATACACTTGTAATTGAAACAAATTTGTTGACGAAGTTAGAAGTTATCCTGTAATTCCTTTCAACTATACTTCTACAGCTGGGTCTCAATCAATGTTTATTTTCTTTTTGCAATATCCATCTCTCTCTCAAAATGTTAAGCAACATCTCTATTATACTAATACCATTTTGTTTTGTAATTGTTGCCACTCAATCTGTTTTGTAAGCTTCTAATCTACTATTCTACTGTTATGTATAATAATATGTTACAAAGCTGGGCACCCCTTGAAAATTCCATCTTTCATATTCATGTCCACCCTTTCAATGTCAACAGCTATATTAAAACAAAACTCAGAAGTAGATGGTAGATTATGTTGGGTTGTTTGAGATGTAATTGTCCCTTGCAGCATTATTATTTACCAATGGAATTTGTAACACACAAAGAACTAAGTATAGTATATGAAACATTTTAAATATCATTAAGATACAATTGTATGATATTTATCATATTATTGCATAGCAGAATCACTGTTCAACATTGCCTTGTTTGAATGTGGTGTTCTAAACAATTTTGTTGTTTGGAGTTTGATTTCTCTCATTATATCTCTTCACTATTGCAAAATCCATTAGTATAGGTTGACAAATTTTTAGGAAGATATATTGTTGCCTCCATTAACCATTTGTAGTTATTGGCCAATCATTGATTTTAAAATAGTGTTTCATGGAAACAACATATGAGGAAAATATATTATACTGCTAAACATAGTTACAAGTAATCATCAAAACTAGTAAAAAAAATGAATTGAATTGACTATGAGGGTTAGCACAAGAAAGGCTCACAACTTTGTACTAAAACATTGCCAGTTCAAACTCTAAGCATGAGAATTTTCTCCTCAATGATTTTTATTTAATAGCAATGAATAAGTAAAAATAAAAACCATATATTTTAGAAGTATAAAAGAATAAAAAATAACAATGTCACAAATATAATTGTTAACATTAAAAAGTGTGCCAAATTAAAAAGTAGGTTTCACCTTTGTTCATTTGTAAAATATAAATATACATATATTATGTTGACTTGCTGGTTTATGTATGTATATATATATATATATATATATATATATATATATAATGAATGAGGATTCACACTTCAATATGAGTCCCCATTGCTTCACAATAGCAACCAATCCATGACATTCTTATGACAAATGAAAGAGGAAAGAAAGAAAGAAAACAAGGGAGAAGGAGGAGGAGTCTGCATAGCCAACTGAAGTGGCCCTTATGTAATTTGTCCCATTTCTGTATTTGTCCTTCCATCCCCCCTCCCCAAAAAAAAAAAAAAAAAAAAAAAAAAAACAGAAGAAGAAGAAGAAGAAGAAGAAAAAGAACCAAAGTAAAAATTAACAAACAAATCACAGAGGTACACATACCATGAGTGTTGGTCGATCACCCAATCAGATAATCCTGTAATATCATAAAATAATAACAAATATTTTCATGTCACCAAGACTTGACTGTGGGGGTTTTTAAAAAACAGTAGAAAGGAAAAAACAGCGAAACTCCAACATTTGTTATCCAAATTTATCAGTGAGCGTTGCAGAAGGTTTGATCTCTCATTCCACTGATGTATCTGGGGCTCCCGTATTGGGAAGTCAGAGGGATCTTAATTTAGCTTCGAGATTTAGAGGGTTATCAGTTTCGGCTTACGATTGTCAACTACCCATTAAATGAGTGTGCTTATTTTAAAATGAATACAATGGGGAACTAAATTGGAGGGGAATGGTGTCTCTACTTCAGAAGTTTGCTAAATTTGGTGTGAAGCTAGATTTACGGGTTCAGCAGAAGGAACGGCATTCTAGTGATGTCAGCAAAGTGTGGTGGAACCTACTCACGTGTGGCAGTTACTGTGCATTGAGCTCTGACATTCTGAACATAAAAAACCACCACTTTGTTGTAAGAATTGGAATTGTTTGCGGGTGGAGGTTTTATTACTGAATAGTCAATTTTTTTTATGGAACTTTAATGTATTCATCTGGGTATTGGGTTTGTTTGTTTTTTTTTATATTATTGTCAGTATTGTTTTTCTTTCAGGTTTTTAATGTTGTTCAATGGCATAGAGCACCAAAACTCATGTGACCATTATTTATTAGTGTGTTTACAGACTCCGGAAATCCATCACTATTCAGCATCTGGAATTTAAAATTTGTTGCCTCACTGTAGAACTTCAATAGGTCAGATAGTTTGTATCAGACCTTGACTTGCTGCTGCCTTTGCTTCCTGAGCAAGAACTTCTTCATCATGCACTGAACACAAATGTTGTAAAATGAAAACGAGCTTTGGGCCAGAGAACCTCTTTCATTTCTGTCTATCTGTCTTTTAGAAGGGCTCAAGCTGGAAAACTGGAGAATTAGTCTGTAGTTTATGCTTGTTTGAATCTTGTGACTTGCAGCATAAGCCAGCCACAGGGATGGATTCCAAGAATAGTTTACTCACCCTCAATCATATTTGTCTGTGTGGACCCTGTAACACTTTTTGTGCAGTACTGTTGTAAGATTTGAGGGGTGTTTGATTCTCATACAAAGCACAAAGTCCACACAGTGAGATAGTTTATAAACCCCCACACAGGAATAATAGTAATAAAATAAACCAAAACCAAAAGGTTCAGAATTTGGTGCTGGGTTTGTGAGCAATAGAAGCCAATTGACCTGAGAATAACTGTAGGAATGGGAATGTGACAATGAACCTGTTTTGCCAGATACACCAAGAAACTATCATGAAACTATGAGTTGAAACCTTAGGGTTCTACCCATATGCAATAAAAGGTCTCAGTGATGAGGAGCACACTGTTCCATTGGATGCAAAAGTGGGGGTATCATAACAAATTTGCATCTCATTGGAAGCTCTGTTCCCACTGGGGAATGTGATGTCTCTGCCTTGCAAGTGACAAGGCAGCAACCATCTGCTCCATGACAATAAGTGCATAAAAAGAATTGAATAAACACCTTTGAATTCTTATAAGGATTTGGGTGTGTTATACTCTAAATATTCCAAGTCATCCATTCTTACTGTCTAGCCAAGGCAATCAAAGCAGCTCAGTGTGAAGGGGGCTGGGGATGCCATGGATAACTTTGTTGTACCTGGGAATTAAAAAATTGCTGCTCCTCCTTGGCATGTTTTGCAGGTCCTAATAGTCCATGTGACCTTCTACCAACTGCCAATACATTTGTACCCAAATGACATGGATAGTAGTTTCATTCCAGTGTGATGGGGGTGTAGTCCATGAGTCCCTTCCCCTATTTTTAAAATACTATATATATATATATATATATATATATAGATGTTTTTTCATTTTAGCTGCAGCACACACACCAAAACCTGGGCTAATGGTCTTGTGCAGGAAGTGCATCCAAAGTGCAACTAAGTGACCTCAAACTGTAGAATACCTAGTCAAAGTCATCTTATTGGACTTGGCAAAACACATTGGACCCATTGCCATAATGTTTCACTTCCCATACACTACCATGCCAGTAAAGGATTTGGTCTCACCCAGCCTTCTGATGGCTCCCTCTCACACCCTGTGGATCCATGACTGCAATGCAACAAGCATCATGGAAACATTAGTATTCCAACATCAAAAAAGAGAGTTGTGCAACTCATCATTTTTCCTTTGGGCTTTGTACATTCTTCATGTTTGTGATTAGGACTCAGTACACACACAACCCACTTCCATGATGCTCAAATGCCCTGCCAGGCTTACAAAAGTGGCTGTTCCTCCACCACTTGCTTGAGTTATATTAGGGGCAACTTCAGCTTGCATCATGGAAATATGCTCTGTGAATATCAAACGCTTTGTGGGGTGTGTATCATCATTTCATGTTTTCTGCTGTGTCCAATTAAGTGTCTATACGTAGGATTCCGGCATTGTCTTTACTGTAATGACACAGTAAGATTGACTAATGGAAAAAACGGATTTGAGTTTCTGAGAAATATTGAACAGGGGTGGCCCTGGAAGGCCAGCTGCAACCAGACTTTGTAATCAAAACAACTTTCTTCGCTAAACCAACCGTATTTGATCATTTCCTAAGTAACATTAAAAAGATCTAAAGCAGAGGGGGTTCGAAAAAGCCCAAGATTTCTAAAAAGTTCTCCTAGAATGTAACCATCTGCTGAATTTCTTACGAGTGTCACTCTCAAATGCTTGCGAACACAAACAATACCTGCCAAACCAGAAACCATATCCAGACCAGAACGCATTTGAGCTTGCGAGACATCTGGGTCCAATGCTTGTCAGTTACATAGAGATAACTTTTTCATTCATATAAGATTCACAACTAATTATTTACATGGAGCAGAAAAATTCATATTTCTATACAATTAAATTGGACCCCGTTGGTTGCGATAAATGACATTCCTCTGTAAACATTGATGGTGTATTCGAGGATTATGCAACTGGTACCTGTTGAGCAAACCATCACCGAGCAACGATTAGTTTCCAAAACAGTTTCGACAATTTCGAATGAAAGCTTTGAAGCGTGGAGTACGCCTGGTAAAAAAAAAAAGGGAACTTCTTTTTGTAATAATCTTTTAAATGGCTTACCCAGAAATCAAGGAACTAACTGAAACACATGCTGACAACTGAGAAGAGCTAAGTAGAATTAAGGATCATATTTGGAAGGTTGCAGCCAGAGCTGAGGCTTCTGGGCTTGGTACAGGTTACAATTATAATCCAAATTTTTGATGTCCTCAAGATGATTAATATTTCTGATGTACTGAGATATCTACAACTACAAGTAGAAGCAAGTGCAAGCGCAGACCTCAATTTGAAACAAAACGGTGCTGTCAGTAACTTGCTGGCCAATCTCTAATTCGGCACCTTTGACAACTCCCTCCATTGGAGCTTTCACAACATGCTGGTCACGATACAAGAGGAATTAATTTCATCTCGTAAACCTAACGAACAGCTTAAGAGAAAAGTCCCTAATGCAATTAAATTTACGCATAAGTTTAATTACGCTTCAAAATCTGAAGAAGCACGACTCTTACAGAAGAACTTTTGAAGCACAAAATATGACATTACCTCCATCTTCATAGCTTCAAGCACAAGAATGGAGTCCCCTTTCTTTACTCTTGTTCCATTAGCAGCGAAGATCTTCACAACCCGACCTGCCATTGGTGCAATAACTGCACCAGGACCTTGCGCTGGATGCCTTTCATGTCGACCATGGGACGATTTTTTGTGCTCCTGAGACTCATCAGTGTCATGTACCGGGACTGGTACACTAAAATGGTGGTGATGGTCTCCTTCCCATAAGTGGATGTGGCTTGTGTTCCCCTGCTTTACTTTTTAAGCTTCAGTGTTGATTCCATGTGTACAAAGATGCGATGAATAATTACCCGACTATCAAGATCCGGCTCAATTTTCAAATCGCAAAGATTTGCAAGAGCTGTAGTACAAACTGCAGAAGTAAAAATTGCAGAAGAGAATGACAGGAGAACCTGAGAGAATTGCGCAAGGCTCACAGGAACGGATTTTTCTTCCACATTCAGTCTCAAGTTAGATCCATCACCTGGCAGCTGTTTGCCAGTGACAGCAATTTTCCCTACCTTGTCTCCCTACAACACACCAGCATCAATTACATGAAACATCTTGAACCACAAGCACCAGTTTCGAATTATAAAGTGTTTATTTTTTATTTTTTTATAACAAAATTAAAATTAAATTCCAAAATCACTATAATTATACGAGGCTGGAAGCCAGACTCATAAATCAGGTTCTTTCAGTAACTACTCATTGCTAAAATAACACAGGAATTACATCAAGATATGGCAACGACTTCAAAAGTAGACCTGAACATATCACTAAAAATCGAAAATAAATCTAAGAAGCGTTCACACCTGAAGTATATTCTACAAGACTGAGTACCAAATAATCGATTTCTTCGGATGAATTTTACTTCTAAAGAATTGTACCTCTACAAGGATGTTGCCAAGTTTTTCGTAAGTGAGTTTCAGATTAACAGGCAAAGGAGTCGAATCACCACTTTCCGGTCTCCAGTCAAGATGCAGCATGCGTGTGTATAGATGGTTTAAGCGAAAGCCAGATCCAGAGCTCCAGATTGAATTAAGCCCATCGGGTCTCTCTTCTGCATATATCAAGCGTATCGACTCTTCATTGCCAAACTAAGTTCGTCTGGTAAACCTCATTATGTATGATATAATCAAATTGTACGAAATCATCCTCTTTCTAAACTGAAATGAAATGCATTATCTTACGTCTAGACTTGATCACAGAAGCTGCAGCTGCCAAGGCTGCACCATATTGAGTCGCTTTGGGCAAGGAGGGCTCATGGATGCTGTCTGACTGTGTCACTGGAAGTAAATCTGTCTTGAAACGATCAATAAAGTGAGTGTCAACATCTCCAGCTGCAAACGCATGATGGCTTGCAAGAGTCTTCAGGAAACCGATGTTCGTTGGCAAACCGGCTATCTGGTTCACAGAAAGCAAAGCAGAAATTTCCAAAACATTTGAGAAGTTCAGCTCATTCTTTAAAAAATTTCAATGTTTGTGGTGATATAGAACTAGAATTGAACAAGTTCTTCAGAACTATGAAAAACCCAAGGTCTTGAAATGAAAATATCACGTTGCTAAAACGACGTACCTGAAATTTGGTTAAGGAATCGATTAGCTTTGTCAAAGCTGCAGACCGGTCGCGACCCCACACGACAAGCTTGGCAATCATGGGGTCATAGAAGACGCTAACGTTGTCCCCTTCTCCTACCCCAGTTTCCACTCGAACTGAAAGGACACGCCAGATCCACAACTTTGCATTTGAGTAGAAACAGTAGCTCAAAACAGAACAGGCATCAAGTTCCATGAAGGTTGAAGAATAACATGAACACCGCACGAACGCCACTCCTCATAAAACTTGGTGATCAAGAACGGGGTCATCCAACAATTATCCTAATTGAATTGCAGGAAACACATTTGTAAAATACTGCGTATGCGAAAAAAATATGCAATATCCTCACAATAACTACAAGTGGTTGCGACCCCTGCACAAAGCTGTTACAATTGCATTCTGTTTCTGTCATTATTGAACGGGGAGTAGGGCGAAAGTTCAAAGAGAATCACCAGTGGGAGAGGCCGATGGAGGGCTGTAGTGCTGCAGACGTCCAGCAGCAGGTAAGAAACCTTTTGGGACGTTTTCAGCGTAAATGCGGGCTTCAAATGAGTGGCCTGATCATTACAGTATAGAATTAAAACGGCATCCGTATGAAATGCGACAGTTAATGATACAAATGAAGCATGTCGAAGTCTGACATAACTTAATCTTTATTTTAGTTTCTATATTTCATTGGCCGAAATGTACAATAACATGATTCCAGCAACTGGAGTTTATTTAGAGACTTGGATTCATGTTTTATGATTCACACCCATTAACTTGACTTCACTTTGCTGAAGAGGGAGAGCCTCGCCGTCGGCTACACGGATTTGCCATTCAACAAGATCTTGGCCGGTTACCATTTCCGTCACAGGGTGCTCCACCTGCAGGCCCATACGTAAATGCATAAATGCCTCCTCAACCAGAAATGAGGCTGCTAACCAAGTAGAACTATGCTTAATCATCAGCCATAAAATGAAAACGAACCTGTAGTCGAGTATTCATCTCCATGAAGTAGAAATCACCTGAAATCGTGTCTACAATAAACTCCACTGTGCCTGCACTCACATAACCTACTGCCTGCACGTTTGACACCCCACGCAGACAATGACGTACGTTACCCGAGCAATCATGGCAATTCTGGAAGCCAGGAAGAATAACATGTTTAGAAAAGGCGATCGTGAGTAAGACCTTAGCAGCATCAACAGCAGCCTGCCCGATCCTTTGTCGGAATTCGGGTGTTATATTTGGCTGCATACACACGCCACCGCAACTTAGTGCACAGAAGCAATGTTAAATAATGCGGACAAGCTCACTCACGTATAGTAATTTTAAGATCACCAGGATGTTGTATTTAGAAATCTATTGTAGTATCTCAGTACAGCTAATGTCAAAGCCAAGCTGCCATACGATAACTCTCAGTCCAGGATGCTTGTCATTGTTCAGAAGATAGAGGTTTTAGCTACCGCAGGAGCCTCTTCAATGATCTTCTGGTGGCGTCTTTGTACACTACAGTCGCGCTCATTCAAATGTACCGCGTTTCCATGTTTGTCTGCAAAGATCTACACCAGCGCCATACTTAAACAATAAGGATCAGAAAAATTAAAGTGTGGTTGAGGGAATGAGTTGACATAAAGTCCAAAAAAGTACCTAACTCACTACATAGAGCGAGCTTGCTGTAGCTCGTGCATAGAGTGCCCCAAATGGTTTCATATATCTATTTCAAGTTTTCTTTCATGCAAGATGATTCCGAGAGTTAGTCAGTTCATCACCTGTACTTCAATATGCCGAGGTCGTGAGATATATTTTTCAATTAAGACACGGCTGTCCCCAAATGCAGCCTGTGATTCACGTTGTGCGCTTGCTAAAGATTCCAAAAAATCTGCCTCATTGTGCACAATTCTCATCCCCTACAACCAATACGAAGTACACCTCAGATAAAGTCGACAGATACCACAACACTCCTTCTCCTAATGCAAAATAAGAATTTATTCACCTAAAATTCATCTTAATAAGCCATACAATCCATGCTCTTTATCAAGATATTAGAAACCTGCAGGTTTTAGATATACTGTCAATATAAATAGGATTCACATTTGGCAAGGGTATTAAGTATGAACCTTGCCACCACCGCCTTGGGTAGCCTTGATAAGCACTGGATAACTAATGCGATTCGCCTCCGCCTGTAGCAGCTCAGGGTTCTGATCTTCTCCGTGATAGCCAGGGACAACGGGAACCCCTGCAGCACTCATCAAAGACTTTGCGACACTGTACCCAACAGCAGTTCACAGAACTTAGTGCCAGTTCATAACCAAGGTCAAGGCCATCCCCAAAACTCCTAAATATACGAGATCTCGATCCATCTACGAATTAAATGCTCCAAATCGTTTTGCACAGCTATTCCTGTTCCTCTGTATTTATTGCAATGGCTGCAACTCAAGCATGAAAGAATGAAGATTACAAGGGTTCGTGGGGGCAGAGAGCATAGTGGATAACCTCTTATCACCCATAGCACGAATAGCATCAGCAGGTGGACCGATAAAAATGACCCCCTTCTGCTTGCATAGCTCTGCGAATTTCGAGCTTTCGGACAGAAATCCATAACCTGGATGAATTGCCTGACACATTCACACGATCATGCTTTCAAAATCAAAGAGAGTACATCAAAGATTTGTGACTTCTTTAACTATTTAGGATTTGCAGCCAACCGATTCGAAATCTCCTATAAAGCTACAAAACCTGACAATCAATGCACAGGAAACCATAACTAATAAGAGATTCAGCATTCTCACTGTGAGCTTAGAGGTGAATCCAATCAACGCAAATACACTGCTAAAAATGAAGACATAAATTCATGAGTAAGAGAACCGCGAGAAGTAAGTACATCTGCACCAGTCGCTAGAGCTGTCGCCAAAATTTTTGAGCCATCCAAATAACTGGCTGAGGCAAGAGCGGGGCCTATGAAAACAGCTTCATCCGCCATGGTCACATGCTTAGCATGTCTATCGCCTTCACTATAAACTGCCACTGTGCGTACCCCTAGCTTCTTTGCTGTTTTGATCACGCGGCAGGCAATCTCCCCTCTGTTAGCAATTAAAATTTTCTTGATGTATTTCGCTTTCGGAATCTCTTCCCCTTGAGTGCTCGAAGACGAAAAGTTGTGGGTGGAGGAAAGCCTATAACCAATTAAAGGTAAAACTGAAAGGGTTTTATTGGAAGTCGCATCAAGTATGTTGTGATCTTCGCCGCGCCTTAGAAGAGGAAGAATTGAACAGATTCCGGCTCTTTGTTGAGTGGATTTTAAGAGTCGCAAAGGAGCAGGACGTGTCTGGTTTCCTAAGGCAGCAAGAGCCCATCTATAAGCGTTGCCACTTCCTCCCATTGAGATACAAGTTTTCACAAATGCTATCTCTGTTTCAGAAGTGTTTTCAGGAAGACAATTCACTCTCCTGCAATGTGGATCCCTGACTCCAAATCCAAAATATGCGTCTCTGACCCTAAGAACCCTCTTTTACATGCTGTCTAGAAGGCAAACATGTCTTCTGTGTAGGTATAGCCTACACTGTTGCAGATAGGCAGGTGTCATCCAATCATGTGCTCGTCCTGCAGTAAGATCGTCTGAACTTTTATCAGCCAAATGGATTCGTATTACACACACGCACACGCACGCACACACACACACACGTATATATATATATATATATATATATATCGGACGGAATTTTTACAGTGACGTGTGACAGCAATTTCATCTAGATTACCAACAACATGACACCTGCAGGGGGCAAGAGAATGCTATAGTTTCAGGGTTGCCAATCATAAAATGAGACAAGACTCATGAATCAAGACTACTATACTCTCCGTATGCTAAACGTAGCTTTCCTTGTTCACTCCGGAGTAACTCTTGCAATCATCCATAGCATCATCAAGTGCCTGATTTCAATATGCTGTTCACTCATGCATGAACTGCTTTTAATTATGCAAAAGAAAAATAGGTTTCGATGCAATCAAAACCTCAGAGCAAGAGCATAGCTCACAATGTTCTAAGACACGAAACAAAACAAAACAAAACAAAACAAGGCACTAAACAACAAACAGCCAGCAGTGTAGAAAAGCGTTCTCTGAGGAACACGATCGCAACTTCAAATTGCCATCACCATAAACTAGCGAAACATCAAGGCTGCCATGAATCCATACCAATTCACAAGCTAGAAAGAAACGCTAAACAAACTACTCAATCTTCAGCCATTCGTCAACTACTAAACCAGAATCTAGAGAAGAATTTTCCAATTCCAGGCAACGTCTAATTCCTCTTGTTATCAATTACAATCAAGGAAACTGAAGGCGATCTACGAAACGCATAAATACCACACTCATCGACGAGACGCCATAAAGCAGAGCCCTCACGCGTAGGGTGCTCCTCTCCAACCTCAACCTCCTCCTCCTCCTCCTCGAATCCCGTTCAAAGTGTGTTCAGATGCGGGCCAAATTCCTCAAGCAGAATGTCGCAAGGACATGAGAGAACCGACGGCGTTGTAACAATCACCAGAGTGGCTGAAGGGCAATTTCAAGTCACGATGCTCTCGCGATGCTCAAGAGAATGGGCCATCTCACGATCATCGCCATCGCCATCGTCATCGTCCTCATCCTCCACTTCGCTTGCTCGCTGGGGTGGGGGGATGACGTGGAAATCCTCGGATCCACGTAAGCGTATTACCCCTCCCGCTTCGTCCACGTCACGCCCATGGAGACAGCACTGAAAAAGTTTTTGATATCTTTATGTCACTGAGCGACGTTTCGAACTTCAGTTGTGTTACTTTTAAAATTTTTACAAAAAAAATGAGGATTTTTTAAGGGCTTTATTTTGTGATTATATATATATATATATATATATATATAGTTTTGTTGTTAACTTATTTATTAGTCTTACTTGAAGTTGATCCTGTATTTTCCATAAATTTCATGTTATTTTTATGTATAATTTGATGTAGCAATATGGTACAACCTTGAGAATGTTTGTAAAGAGCAGTTGTACAATTGAATAAGAAGGAGAAAACATAAGTAAATGAATAAATAAAAAGATGTCTAAAACACCTTGGAGTAGTAGAAGAACGTGGTGCAAATGAAATCTCTACAAACATTGCTGATTGTATGTTTTGGAAATTCCATTTATTATGAGGTTGCATTTTTGTCTCTATAATTGAAAAACATGTAGTCTTTGTTATGTGCATATTGAGGTTTTAGAGAATCAAAATCTTTTAATATCAAACCTTCAAAATATTATGACAATTGCAATATAAATGGTTTTTTATAGCACAATTTTTTTTGAAATTATAAATTATAAACCAAATACATTATTCTAAGTAGTGTTACAAAATTTACTATTGATTTTGGATTTATGACAAATAGATATATCATGCTTTAATTTTATTCTTAAATCCAACTTACAAATTTAAAACTATACAATATAATATTTTTAGGAAATTATCAATACTATACCTTATGTGACTCCTTCATAAACAACTAAGTAATAATATGCCTCTTACTTTTGTGCATTTTTTCCTTTCTATGCTTTAAAAAATGGTGGTAGTTAAGAAGAAGAAATTAAATATTTTATGAAAAAATAAGTCACGAGATATTTTAAAATATATATATATATATATATTTAAAAAAATAATCAAATTTATGTTTTTATTATTTGATTGCTAAAAATATTATTATTATTATTATTATTTTTTATTTTTAGATTAATATTTGAATTTAATATTAGGCTATCAAATATATTATAAGCATAGATACATGTTTTGTACTTAATTTAAGTTATATAGAAGTCACATGAGGTATTGTCAAAAATATGAATATTGAAGAACTAAAAAATCAAGAAATTCTTGTGCCACTTGAAAAGACTAAATAATTATTCAAAGCTGATATAATATTAAACTAGAATGGCTATTGCCAAAGAGAAGAATACTAGAAAGTCTCGAAAACAAGACTAAAGACTACAAAGGCATTGACAAGAATGAAAAAGGCTTAACTCTTACCTCCATATATACTCTTAATTAGAAGCTACATGGTGATGTCTTATAGGTACTCCAAAATGTGTTGTCATTGTAAGACACATATCTTAACTTGCAAGGCAAGTTTTTTATATGTGTTCCACATAATTAGCTTATTTTATAAGCTATCAATACATAGTTAATTTGCTAATTAAATTTCTAACCTACAAATTAACTATAAAAATATGTAAAGTCAAAGCAATATTTATGAAGCTTCTAAGAAGCTTCTCTAAAAAATATTATAAAATAAATTTATTTTTATCTATCTTTATTTAACCATATATATAAATATTAAAATAAATATATATATCTATGACATTATTTTTTTAAAAAAAAACAAATTCTAAGAGGAACGGTTATTATATGTTGAAGAAATCTAAGATATAACAAATTGTATTTACTACATACTTTGATCTTTGTTCTCTTCAAAGATGGTTGATAGGTCCTCTTAGCCATCAATAGTATCTCATATCACGGCAAAAAGACCACCTTATTATTTGAACATTGTTGAGGCCTTTGCAATTCTCTTTTAAAAAACAATTGAAATACCATTAGGACTTATTCCTACCTCTATTAAAATCACCAAACATCGGAAGTCTCTTCCAAGGTTATGATATTAAATACATTGTATCTTGCCATCTATTTGAGAAAAGAGATGTTGTTCTTGAGGATCTTCATTTTGATTATGTTGTCTTAAAGGTTGTAACAATTGTAATGTTTTGTTTAATAAGTCAACAAGTGAAAGCTTTTGACTTGAATCTACTCATTGTTGGTTTTTTTTTTTTTTTTTTTTTTTTTTTTTTTTTTTTTTTAATCTCCTCAGCATCATAAATATACAAAAATTATAAATAAGAATAGAAAGTAGAATACTATCTTCCTAGGATCTTATTTCTTTTATAGCAAAGATTTGCTATTCTTCATCTTGGTTTTAATAGATATTTTCAATGAAAAACCTCAACTTTCTTTGTTACATTTGCAAGATTCTTTGCTGGCTTCAATGTCCATATATATATATATATAAATAACTATGCCAATGAACAAGATATTTTAATCTATTTTGGCGCCGCCTTGAATCTAAGACTTCTTCCACTTTAAACTCTTGATTATTATCTATTTCTATAGGAAGAAGTAACATTTGTCTTCTTCTCAAGATATTCATTATCTTATTTGGCTTAAGAAGTGATACATGGAATATGAGATGAAACTTCATAGACTTCAGTAGATATAATCAATAAGCAACAAGATTGACTTCTTCACAATTAAAAAAAGATCCTAACCTATAATAGTCCAACTTATCGCAAAGACGAGTAGTCTTGATATTGTAACAAAGTAATCATATATTTTCATTCCTATTAAATTCTAATTATTTCTTACAATAGGCATCTGCATTGATTTTTTTGTTATTCTTATGCTTCTTTTAACTGTGCCTTCATTGTTATATGTAGCTCTAATAAAAAAATTATAAAATTATTTATTATAGGAATATTGAACTTTAAAAAGTCAAAAGTATCTAATCATGGATGATAATCATAATTGACAAAGAAAGATATTTTTTGAGTAAAAGAATCTACTCAATTTTTATATGCAAACTCAATCAATAAAAAAAGAGTTATCCAATCATCTTAATGATAATTGATAGTATACTTCAAATATTATTTTAGAACTTGATTCGTCCATTTTGTTTGTCCATTAGTTTGAAGATGAAAAGCCAAAGAAAGCTTTAAATTTATCTTCAAAATCTTAAAAAAAGTTCTTCAAAATCTTGATATAAATTGAGTCATTTTATGTAATATAATATCCTTGGATAATCCATAATAATAATAGATATGAAGAAAATACTTAGTTATTTCTTTACTTATGATAGATTTTGTACATGGTACAAAATATACCATTTTAGTAAAACTGTCTACTACCACGAATATAAAATCATATAAACTTAAGACATGAAGATTTGTGATAAAATCCATAAAATTAAAAGACTATGGTTGTTCCAAAATAGATAATGGTTGAAGAAGCTTATGAATTTGATGACAAGGAGTTTTGAATCTTGAACAAATATCACATGATTATACAAAGTTTTTGACTGCCTTTGATATTTGAGGCAACTAGAAATTTTTAGATATTAGCTCTAAAGTTTTATTGTATCTAAAATATTCAACTGTTGAAAAGTCATGATGAGCTTGAAGAATATAGAATTGTGCTTTGTTTTCAAAAATATGTAATTATCCTTCAAAATAGAGTAGATTATTCTTAAACTCAAACTAAAAAGTATCATGAGATTTAGAAGAATTATTCTTGATATCATAAATAAGAAGATCAAAGGACATAATTGATTGAATTTGCTTAATAAAAGTTGAATCAACGATCAATATTGATTTTATTATTCAAAGATGAAAATGCTTTGAATTCAAAAAAAATATTTTTTGTTGATCAAAAGCTACATTTCTTTCTTTTGGTGCAACATAAAAACATTTAAAAAGGGCGTTTCAAAAATCTTGTTGTTTTTTGATTTGATAAGTGATCTTGAATTCAAATCTTCATAAAAGACATGCTTCAAGGTGCTTGGCAACAATTCAAAATGCATGCCAACATGAAGTATTCCAGATTCTTGTGATTTGTATGTACAATGATTGGAATAGAAGTGTCTTCTAGATAATGATATTATTTTTGGAATAAATCCATGATTAGAAGAAACTCTTGGTTGTGGATCTCATAGTTAATCTCAGCTACTGAAATTTTTTTGGAATAAAAAGCTATTAGATGGAGCTTGTCATGTATTCTCATTTGTATCAAAACAACACTTATAAAAAGGTTTGGTGCATTTTTTTTTTCTAAAAGAATGCCTTAAAAAAATTGATGTGATACAAAATCGATATAAAAATAAATATTAACTTTAAGGCTTCAAAAGATACTTTAGCTTCTTTGCTCTATTCAATTTAATCTTTAAATGTCACGTGTGTAAGAAGAGTTGCAACTTGAAAAAAGTTCTTCATGAAGATCTTGTAATAATTGACAAATTTTAAAAAATATTACACATTTTTTATTGTTTTTGAAGTGTATCAATTCATAATAGTTTAGAATTTCTTTAGATCCATTATAAGTCCTTTGTTAGAAATTATGTATCCTAAGAAGTCAATTTTATTAGTGTAGAATATACACTTTTCCATCTTGGCATACAATCCTATATTTTTAAGTTTTTGTAATATACAACAAACATGAAATTGATGTTTTTTTTTTTTTTTTTTTTTTTTAATTTTTATAATAAATTAGAATATTGCTTAAATAATAATCAATAAAATCATGAAGAAACTCACAAAAAATATATTTCATGATATATTAAAATATAATTAATACGTTTGAAAGTCCAAAAGACAAAACTTTATATTTAAAATATCCATACGTAGTTTAAAAAACAGTCTTCTATTCATTTCTTTCTTTGATACAAACCAAGTTGTATGATCTTCGTAGACCTATTTTTGTATAGATCTTTGCTTGATTGAGTTGGTCAAGAAGTCCTGAAATTAAAGATAGGAGATACCTATTTCTGATGGTGATCTTATTAAATCTTC